TCCAACTCGTTATTCGTAGGGGGATTCCCCATGGGAAGATTAGTCCCTATGACATTCTCGGGTTGTCTGCCAGTGGTAGCTTCCTGTTGGTCCTGCATTCATGGAAGGTTTGTTGGGCTTCTGTTCATGTTGCGAGTTGAGACCATCAGTCGCTGAAGGATCAACGTATTTGGAACAATCCTTCTCACAGACGACACCAAACTGATGGCGTGAATTCGCGTGGATGAGAAGAGGGAATGAATGGTACCTAGTGACCTAGAACTGAGCTACAAGGCTCGAGAGAATCAAGTAGAAATTGCTAGGGAATTGGGGGAGATTGCACAGTGAAATTATAGTAGTTTACCAGCTCAGGAGCTCGACTAGTCTACTCTTCAATGGAGATTCTTGTTCCTTTCATTTTAGTAATGAGAGATGCAGTTTACAATCGACCTCTGGTTCTCCTAGGGTTATTATTTTTCTCTCTCTCTATACTGGAGGCATCATGCAGTATTTATAGAATAGCTCCTAATTCTGTGGGATTTGCACCGAGATCCTCACCATTTATCCGGGGGGATTCTCCTTGATTTTTGGAGAAGATCTTGATTATTTGGGAGCTTTGTGCCTTGAATACAATTTTTTGCCGCCTGCTAATATCCAGTTGTTCTGTCATCTTTTACGCTATCGTCTCGCCTGGGGGGAGCTCTAACTCAGATCCTCTGAGCTCTGCGTAACTTGTCTGACCTCCCTGTTCAACCTCTTTGTCTGAGCTCATACTTTTTTGGGTATTATCACCTTTAAATATGATGACTTGGCATTCACTCGAGTATTCAACTGAAACTTGACAACCTACAATCATCGAGTAAAGCAATAAATACTGCCCATTATGCCTCANATGGGACTTCAGCTCCTCTTCTTCTCTTCTTCTCCTTTATCTTTTTGTGTGGATGAGCTCCCCACCTTTGAGAAGAAAGCTTCCTCACCGTTTATGCATTTTTCTGCCTTGGCCAGCACCTCAGCCATTGCCTGAGGGTTCTTCGAAATAGAGAACATCAGATCTTTGGATTGCATGCCTAAACCAGCTATAAATGCGGTAATGACAAACTTCTCATCTGGGACATCTACTTTCAGTGACTCCGAATTAAACCTCTGGACATAAGACCTAAGGTTCTCTTGGGGCCCTTGTTTCACGTTTAGTAAGTGGTAGCTCAGCTTTTGATATGTCCGAGCTCAAGCTCCTATTAAATGAGATACAAAAGGATATAGAGAGCTCCGTAAAGGAGGAGATCGAAGCCGAGGGGAGCCTATTGAACCACGCTAGAGCTGAACCCTTCAACATGATAGCAAAGGCTCTACAACACACAGGATCCTGATATCCATTCAGCTTCATCTAGTTCTTGTAGGTATTTGATGTGATCTACGGGGTCTTTCGTCCCATCAAAAATTTCTATCTGTGGTATTCTGAATTTTGGGAGAGGGGAAAATACAGCACGCCGGTTGTGAAATAGGACTCAGTCTGTTGCACCAGGGCATCCATTGTGACTGGAGCTTTGCTCTTCACAGCTTCCTTCATGTGGCCGAGCTCTTGTTGGATGTCCTTAAAGCGTTGTTCACAGTATTGTTCTCTCCTCTCCTGCTGATAAGGGAGAAAACCATTCCTCTCGCCCCCATTGTTTTGACTTTGCACTTCTTCATTGTGTCCATTCCTAGGGTGTTAATGGGGAACCTGTCCCAAGGTCTGGCTATTTTTTCCTCCCTCATTAACTTCTCTGAGGGGATCGATCTGTTGTTGTTCTCTATGAGGTGGGTTATTCTGGTCTTCTTGGGCTGGTCGCGCCTCTTGGGGGCGTTGTAAGAGCTTCAAAAGCTCCTCATTCTGCTGCAGCAGATGTTGATTAGCTAGGTGAAAGGTCTCCAACTCGTTATTCGTAGGGGGATTCCCCATGGGAAGATTAGTCCCTATGACATTCTCGGGTTGTCTGCCAGTGGTAGCTTCCTGTTGGTCCTGCATTCATGGAAGGTTTGTTGGGCTTCTGTTCATGTTGCGAGTTGAGACCATCAGTCGCTGAAGGATCAACGTATTTGGAACAATCCTTCTCACAGACGACACCAAACTGATGGCGTGAATTCGCGTGGATGAGAAGAGGGAATGAATGGTACCTAGTGACCTAGAACTGAGCTACAAGGCTCGAGAGAATCAAGTAGAAATTGCTAGGGAATTGGGGGAGATTGCACAGTGAAATTATAGTAGTTTACCAGCTCAGGAGCTCGACTAGTCTACTCTTCAATGGAGATTCTTGTTCCTTTCATTTTAGTAATGAGAGATGCAGTTTACAATCGACCTCTGGTTCTCCTAGGGTTATTATTTTTCTCTCTCTCTATACTGGAGGCATCATGCAGTATTTATAGAATAGCTCCTAATTCTGTGGGATTTGCACCGAGATCCTCACCATTTATCCGGGGGGATTCTCCTTGATTTTTGGAGAAGATCTTGATTATTTGGGAGCTTTGTGCCTTGAATACAATTTTTTGCCGCCTGCTAATATCCAGTTGTTCTGTCATCTTTTACGCTATCGTCTCGCCTGGGGGGAGCTCTAACTCAGATCCTCTGAGCTCTGCGTAACTTGTCTGACCTCCCTGTTCAACCTCTTTGTCTGAGCTCATACTTTTTTGGGTATTATCACCTTTAAATATGATGACTTGGCATTCACTCGAGTATTCAACTGAAACTTGACAACCTACAATCATCGAGTAAAGCAATAAATACTGCCCATTATGCCTCACTAATGCTCAATGATGAGGCAAAGACGGGGCTGGAAGCTCGGGAGTGGCAGAGCATTTATGACTTCTTGCCCGGTCGACACCAAGGCATCCCGATAAATGACTGACAATTGAAAAACTACCTGAAGAAAATACCAGACAACCTGAAGACTCTGAAGAATAAGATTGGACCGAGCAAAGGAATAAGACTAGTGCTTCTGTAGTTATATGCCCCTAATTTTCACAATGTAACACAAATATAACTCTGCAAGTCAAAAGGTTTGGAAAATGTAAAAGATCTAATTGCAGCGGAATAATGGCTACACTGTTAAAGTTCCATAGAGACGACAATGGCAACTCTCTCTGAGTTTTTTTAAATCAATAATGGAGGGACAGGACAGAGTGAAACGAGGACCATAGTTTAAACTAGTTCAAGCCGGCAAAGTGTAATTAACTTTATTTCTTGAACTAATATCATGCTATGCAAGCAAATGGAAAACTACTTTAGTAATTGTGGGGAAAAGAATAAAAAAACTGAACACATTATTCTCTTTATGTCTTAATACAAAAATATGTAGATGCGTTGATTTTGTTCTGGACTAGTAAGGGAACTAATACCTTGGAAAGTTCTCTTANTATCATGCAGTATTTATAGAACAGCTCCTAATTCTGTGGGATTTGCACCGAGATCCTCACCATTTATCCGAGGGGATTCTCCTTGATTTTTGGAGAAGATCTTGATTATTTGGGAGCTTTGTGCCTTGAATACAATTTTTTGCCACCTGGTAATATCCAGTTGTTCTATCATCTTTTACGCTATCGTCTCGCCTGGGGGGAGCTCTAACTCAGATCCTCTGAACTCTGCATAACTTGTCTAACCTCCCTGTTCAACCTCTTTGTCTGAACTCATACTTTTTTGGGTATTATCACCTTTAAATATGATGACTTGGCATTCACTCGAGTATTCAACTTAAACTTGACAACCTACAATCATCGAGTAAAGCAATAAATACTGCCCATTATGCCTCACTAATGCTCAATGATGAGGCAAAGACGGGGCTGGAAGCTCGGGAGTGGCAGAGCATTTATGACTTCTTGCCCGGTCGACACCAAGGCATCCCGATAAATGACTGACAATTGAAAAACTACCTGAAGAAAATACCAGACAACCTGAAGACTCTGAAGAATAAGATTGGACCGAGCAAAGGAATAAGACTAGTGCTTCTGTAGTTATATGCCCCTAATTTTCACAATGTAACACAAATATAACTCTGCAAGTCAAAAGGTTTGGAAAATGTAAAAGATCTAATTGCAGCGGAATAATGGCTACACTGTTAAAGTTCCATAGAGACGACAATGGCAACTCTCTCTGAGTTTTTTTAAATCAATAATGGAGGGACAGGACAGAGTGAAACGAGGACCATAGTTTAAACTAGTTCAAGCCGGCAAAGTGTAATTAACTTTATTTCTTGAACTAATATCATGCTATGCAAGCAAATGGAAAACTACTTTAGTAATTGTGGGGAAAAGAATAAAAAAACTGAACACATTATTCTCTTTATGTCTTAATACAAAAATATGTAGATGCGTTGATTTTGTTCTGGACTAGTAAGGGAACTAATACCTTGGAAAGTTCTCTTACTTCAATTAATGTATTAAGCATAGAGGAGCTTTATATTATGTACCTACTTATTTAATCTCCACTAATAATCTACATGAATTATTTTCTAAATTGTCAGGTGGGCTCTTTTCCATCCAAACTCTAGAGATTTGTGTATAATGTTAGTTAAATGTGCAATGTGTTCAAATCAATCGTCGAGAGGTAAAGTGAAAGGAGTACCATAGTTTAAGTGAGTAAAGTGTAATTAACTTTATTTCTCGAAGTACATCTCAAGCGAATGGAAAACTACACTAGTAAATATCGGGGGAAATTAAGAAAACNTGGAGTACCATAGTTTAAGTGAGTAAAGTGTAATTAACTTTATTTCTCGAACTACATCTCAAGCGAATGGAAAACTACACTAGTAAATATCGGGGGAAATTAAGAAAACTGTATACACTAAGATATTATGCTCAAGTAAGTTTCTACTAGATTCAGGTTAGAAGTAAAATTTCTCTCAATTGTATGATCTGTTTGTGTTCTCTTCTTTCTACATCATGTCACTTCTCACTCGTATACATCTGTCCAGAGCCCATTATATTGAGCATCAAAATGCAAAAACCAGCCTGATCACCTGTAGCAAGAATGCCAAATGGGTAAAGGTTCACAAGGGCGTTGCGTTTCTGCCACCTTTTCTGCTCACGGCCTCGCACAACCGGCATGGTAATGTGTCTAGGCTAGCTGCACGCGTTTTCCCATAGTTCCCGAGTACACCACATCGCCTCCATGCATGATATTCTGCATAGGCTACAGGGTCATTAGCAAGGGCCTTCACATAAGAAGCCAGCTCCTGCATGGAGTCAAATTTTGTCCCATCTATTATTGAATGAGGAGGTACAAATTCCCAAACATTTGGCGCACCAAAGTAGATTGGGACTGCTCCAGAGTCCAGGGCATAAAATAACTTCTCCGTCACGTAGCTCTCTGTAACGGTGTTTTCAATTGCGAGCACAAACTTGTAGTGAGACATGGAGCAATGTAAATGGTCCCACCATTTAGGGACTGTATTGAAGTCCTTCATGCAATCTGGATAGAGAGAAAGTGCCATGTCTGGGCCCCCAACATTGTTCAAACACTTGCCAAATGAGTGGTGGGGCAGCAAACTAAGAATACTTTTTGTAAGCCGGTTCCTCTCAGGAAGACAACGTGAGGAAGACCAATAAACAAGAGTATCCTGATATCAAGAAATAAGATAACATAGCAGAATTATGCTATTAAATAGACAGGAATATCATTATAATTAATACTCGAAAAAAAAAGACAGCGACAACATGAAATTAGCGATGTCATTAGCATGGAGGTGGGGGTTGGGGGGAGGGTATTTGTTGGACCTCTTACATTGTTCTTATAGGAGGATAAATGATAATTTCGGCCATTATGAAAAAGCGCACCAGCATAAGTTGATTGAACATCATCTTTGGCATGATAACCTATAAAAATATCCTCAACACCTGATCTCTTCCTGCCAGCCTCAAGATCCATGTATACACGAAGTGGATCTCCATTGTGTCTCTGAAAAATATAAAAATAATGCCATAAAAAAGCAGTTGGACAGGAAAACCAAAAACAGAAGACAAATTTGAAGCAAAATTTTAAAAAATTAAGCTTGGCTGCAAAAAATAAGTCGATTTCCTTTAATATATCTGTTGGGATGGAAGACTAATGCAAGAATCCATATTTGCACAACTTAAGGGGAAAATCAATTAACATAAAAAGGTCTAATATTAATATATAAATGAAAGGGAAGCATAAATTGCTGATAGTGTAAATCATTTCTAAGTATGGTACCGAAATTCTTTTTCGATACGATAGTGTTATCCTTCATCAAATCCCCAACCTATGAAAAGAACTAAGCATAAAGAGAAAATGGAAGAGCCATATAAGGAATCCAGTTCTTTTTAATTATCAGATTCATAATGTGGCATTCATCATTTGTTACAAACTGATGTAATGTCCAACAATTGCGTGCCCATGCTGCCAGTCCAATCAAAAGAACAAGAAATTCAACTACAATCAACATTTTTTTTTTTTTGAACAATCAACATGAAGTGAAGAAAATCTAGATGCAATCCTAATGTTGAGCACTATAGGACCACAATGAAACAAAACGAATAACATTTAGGGAACTACCTAAAAATATCAGTTGACTTAAAAATCATGAATTATGAAAGAGCCATATTGTCAAGGACAGAGATGGTACTCTTTTCCTAAATTGATGCTTGCAATCGCTTGTGCTGTTTCAGAATATAATTTATTTTGCTTATGAATTAAAAAATGACTATTTTACATACCGAGTCAAACAAGCAAATGGTAAGCAAGTGAATCGCCTCCTACTTCATTATGGCATGTGCATTACTATGCAACATCATTGATTGGAGTGTTGTAGCTCATCTTGTGAGCAGTTGGTGGTAAAAGAAGAGCCAAATATGCCTGAAAGGCTGGAGAGAAATTGGAATAAGAGTTAGCACTCCCAACCATAGACGAATAATATGACTGTAAGAGATGATTAACTATTTCCATCTGGCATAGCAACATGACAACAGAAACATTCAGTGGCTACAGTGTGGGTAATGGAAACAGGATAAGATTCTGGTTAGATGTTTGGTGTGATGCCACATTGCTTAAAATGGATATTCCAGATCAGTGTGCAAGTTTGGTCGATAAAAGGGCTGCACTTGGAGTGGCGTTGAATGCTTGGGATAGTGAAGTGGTTCCAGACCCTCATTTTGGCAGAAATTTGCTTGACTGCATTGCTAGAGGGCCCCTTCTCTTTTATCTTAGAAGGGGCAGCGAGATCAGGCTGTTTTTGAAGGTGACCAAAGTGCCAGATTCTCAGTAGATCCTTTATGGGCAGATTTTCAACATTCGGGTTTCTTCTTTCCCTTGGAGATCTATATGGGTAAAATCAAGCCCTGAAGAAAGCTTTTGTGTGGACAGAAGAGTGGGAGGCAATCTTGATTCGTGACTATTTGAGGAGGAAAATTCTTGTTAACTGGTGCTTCAGATGTAAAGAGCACGGTAAGTGTTAGATAATTAATATTCTTCACAGTTCACTAGTGAGAGAGCTGTGGAGCCTTCTTTACTTGGCCTTTGGAAGGCAATGGGTTCTGCCTAGCTCAGCTAGAGCCCTTTTTTGAGAGTGGGTCTTTTGGAGGGAGGAAGAGGTGTTAGAGCAAAAGAAGACATGGGAGACAACCCCTCTGTGCCAATTTTGGTGCACAGGGAGGAGTGAGAGGGGATGTGAAGTAGCTGAACTTAAACATTTAAGCTGGCTGAAGAGTTTCATGATGCTGGTTTTTTTTGGACTTCAGGGATATGTACTCCCTTTTTGATCCTTGGAACTTGTTTCAGGGATTTTCACTTTTATGGGGACACATAGGGGAATTTGTGTTCTCCATGTGTACTGGGTGTGTTTCCCCTGAGTTTAAGGGATGCCTTTGAACAAATCTTACTTGAGTTATATATATAAAAAAAAGACTCTTTAACCAGAAGGAAGTACAAATCCGAAACCTTTTGGTGTTTGTGCCACCTAGTCTCTTAAGTACAACACACATGCTCATACTCATCAGAGCAACGAACTCGCATGGGCTAATTACTTTTCAGGACTCGAGAAGAATAGTTATAAGTAACATATTATCCCAACTATGTCAACTATAATTCTGCTGGTGCCAGTACAATTATAGATGCCTTTTGAACATAAATAATTGATCAAGCATGACAACTCTACAAATAAATGTGCGAGGAGTTTACAATGTTTTAAAGTTAATCAATGCCCATATAATCAATTGAAAGATCCAAAAGAAAGGTCATTCTGACCTGCATCTGTTTTTTTAATGCAAAATCTATCTCATAGGACTCAAGGATTCAGTTGTTAGGGAGAAATGACTTAGGATTGACTAGAAAATAAAAACGAGGTGAAGGGACTCCCCATCAAAACCTTTCTGAAACTACAAGAAATGCTCAAAACTTAACAAGATAGTGAAGGTGCACCCCTGATCCATCTTCCTTTTTTTTCACCAAAACCTTGATGTATCAGTGAAGAATTTAGAGTTCTCCATTCATCTCGATCATACATTGTTCAATTTATTTTCAAAATTAATTATTCCTTTAACAAAACTATGTTAGCCTCCAAAAAAACTCATTCATTGAGGAGTGTGTCAGGCAACACGAATGTTACATCCTTTGGCCTAGAAGGCCCCCTCTTAGCTATTTCTTTGTTTACAAATTTTTCCTAAACAATATGTAAGTTATTAAATTTGTCAGCGGCCCAGCATTCTTAATATCACCATTCTGATCACAACTTCATGACACAAGCCTTCACAAATGTGGAATTACCACAAACTCATTGTTATACAAAAAGATAGACCAAACCACACATGAAACTTTAGGAGATGAGTGACTAAGTTGAAGGGTTTCGAGATAGTGCAAGGAAAACTTCAGTAGGCAGCAATCTGAAGAATAAACAAAGCAAATCCCTTGACTGGATTTCCCCATTAATCAAACTAATTTTGTAGGATGAAACCCACCACAATGGTATGACCACAGCCAACAAAATAGCAAAATTTTATGGTGTTGTCTACACCAAGAGTTATGTGGGTGTATGATGATGAAATTTTTTGATATATTTTGGTGTAGAGCAGGAAGAATTGTTCTGGCTGATGTTTCAGCTCACTATACATCCTTTCTCAATCAATGGTGCATCTCCCTAAATGGCAAAATATTCAAATCCGTTCATCAATGTAACAAGAGAGAAAATCCTCGNGGCAGAAATTTGCTTGACTGCATTGCTAGAGGGCCCCTTCTCTTTTATCTTAGAAGGGGCAGCGAGATCAGGCTGTTTTTGAAGGTGACCAAAGTGCCAGATTCTCAGTAGATCCTTTATGGGCAGATTGTCAACATTCGGGTTTCTTCTTTCCCTTGGAGATCTATATGGGTAAAATCAAGCCCTGNTGCAGAAATTTGCTTGACTGCATTGCTAGAGGGCCCCTTCTCTTTTATCTTAGAAGGGCCAGCGAGATCAGGCTGTTTTTGAAGGTGACCAAAGTGCCAGATTCTCAGTAGATCCTTTATGGGCAGATTTTCAACATTCGGGTTTCTTCTTTCCCTTGGAGATCTATATGGGTAAAATCAAGCCCTGAAGAAAGCTTTTGTGTGGACAGAAGAGTGGGAGGCAATCTTGATTCGTGACTATTTGAGGAGGAAAATTCTTGTTAACTGGTGCTTCAGATGTAAAGAGCACGGTAAGTGTTAGATAATTAATATTCTTCACAGTTCACTAGTGAGAGAGCTGTGGAGCCTTCTTTACTTGGCCTTTGGAATGCAATGGGTTCTGCCTAGCTCAGCTAGAGCCCTTTTTTGAGAGTGGGTCTTTTGGAGNGGTAAGTGTTAGATAATTAATATTCTTCACAGTTCACTAGTGAGAGAGCTGTGGAGCCTTCTTTACTTGGCCTTTGGAAGGCAATGGGTTCTGCCTAGCTCAGCTAGAGCCCTTTTTTGAGAGTGGGTCTTTTGGAGGGAGGAAGAGGTGTTAGAGCAAAAGAAGACATGGGAGACAACCCCTCTGTGCCAATTTTGGTGCACAGGGAGGAGTGAGAGGGGATGTGAAGTAGCTGAACTTAAACATTTAAGCTGGCTGAAGAGTTTCATGATGCTGGTTTTTTTTGGACTTCAGGGATATGTACTCCCTTTTTGATCCTTGGAACTTGTTTCAGGGATTTTCACTTTTATGGGGACACATAGGGGAATTTGTGTTCTCCATGTGTACTGGGTGTGTTTCCCCTGAGTTTAAGGGATGCCTTTGAACAAATCTTACTTGAGTTATATATATAAAAAAAAGACTCTTTAACCAGAAGGAAGTACAAATCCGAAACCTTTTGGTGTTTGTGCCACCTAGTCTCTTAAGTACAACACACATGCTCATACTCATCAGAGCAACGAACTCGCATGGGCTAATTACTTTTCAGGACTCGAGAAGAATAGTTATAAGTAACATATTATCCCAACTATGTCAACTATAATTCTGCTGGTGCCAGTACAATTATAGATGCCTTTTGAACATAAATAATTGATCAAGCATGACAACTCTACAAATAAATGTGCGAGGAGTTTACAATGTTTTAAAGTTAATCAATGCCCATATAATCAATTGAAAGATCCAAAAGAAAGGTCATTCTGACCTGCATCTGTTTTTTTAATGCAAAATCTATCTCATAGGACTCAAGGATTCAGTTGTTAGGGAGAAATGACTTAGGATTGACTAGAAAATAAAAACGAGGTGAAGGGACTCCCCATCAAAACCTTTCTGAAACTACAAGAAATGCTCAAAACTTAACAAGATAGTGAAGGTGCACCCCTGATCCATCTTCCTTTTTTTTCACCAAAACCTTGATGTATCAGTGAAGAATTTAGAGTTCTCCATTCATCTCGATCATACATTGTTCAATTTATTTTCAAAATTAATTATTCCTTTAACAAAACTATGTTAGCCTCCAAAAAAACTCATTCATTGAGGAGTGTGTCAGGCAACACGAATGTTACATCCTTTGGCCTAGAAGGCCCCCTCTTAGCTATTTCTTTGTTTACAAATTTTTCCTAAACAATATGTAAGTTATTAAATTTGTCAGCGGCCCAGCATTCTTAATATCACCATTCTGATCACAACTTCATGACACAAGCCTTCACAAATGTGGAATTACCACAAACTCATTGTTATACAAAAAGATAGACCAAACCACACATGAAACTTTAGGAGATGAGTGACTAAGTTGAAGGGTTTCGAGATAGTGCAAGGAAAACTTCAGTAGGCAGCAATCTGAAGAATAAACAAAGCAAATCCCTTGACTGGATTTCCCCATTAATCAAACTAATTTTGTAGGATGAAACCCACCACAATGGTATGACCACAGCCAACAAAATAGCAAAATTTAATGGTGTTGTCTACACCAAGAGTTATGTGGGTGTATGATGATGAAATTTTTTGATATATTTTGGTGTAGAGCAGGAAGAATTGTTCTGGCTGATGTTTCAGCTCACTATACATCCTTTCTCAATCAATGGTGCATCTCCCTAAATGGCAAAATATTCAAATCCGTTCATCAATGTAACAAGAGAGAAAATCC